ACCACCACCACCACCACCATCACCACCACCACTACCAAACGGGTCGGGACAAAAGCAGAAGGTTCTTAAAGAGACAGAGGCCAATTTCAAGGCATTTAGAAGAGGAAGTGATGAGAAGAGAAGTTTATTTTCTATTTAAACATAAAACAGCATTTTAATAACAACTAAAGGTGACATAGATACTTTATTATGGTATAGTATTTAAATGTATGCCTGAGAAACACATAACATTGGCTCTTTAAAGAATATTAGTTTGTAAACATTCATCCAGTGTTCATTTTCTGAGCATTTCATTAAAATTTGTTTGGTATTTTGCTAACGTTACAGATAAATGATCGCATTTTAATTCTGTTCCACAGAATGTACCAAGGATATAATCTATATTTGACTGCATCTCATTGAACTGTATCATACATGCTGGCAGATGAGGTTGTATCATCACGCAGCAGCTACACAAAATACACTGAGCTCAAACTACTTAAGGAAAAATGACGATATTTTTAAAAAAATTTATTTAAAAATCAGAAATATGTTGTCAGTACCGGACATTTACAAGCAAGTGCAGCACTGATTAGCTGCAGTACTGTAGTATGCTGTGGGTTGGGGTGGCAGTGTGGTGAAAATTGTGTTAAAATTCAGACCTGTTCAGCCAACAAGCCTGTATTCACTGTAGACCTGAAAGCTATTTTAACACCTGCTGTTAGTTTCAAGCTGATCATTTTTGCTTGTGACTACATGCCAATTTTGATTTTACTTCCAGTCCATTTTCACCTCTAGATTACAAAACCGGGGGAACATGGAGTCTTTGTCATTTCATGACAAAAATATTAAAGTCTAATAGATGAGCTGGCTGCGAGCACAGTGATTCTGGCTGTCAGATCTATCACCTGCCTAACACCACTCACTGATAAAACGTGAGATTTTACTGTTACAAACTCATTTTGGAGATCTCTTGCAAAAGTGAGACCTTTTCTTGTTAGAATATTTTAAAAAAAGTATGTGAAATATTGCGGCATGTAATTTGAGAGAAGCAAAAAAAAAGTTAAGTCAAATGACTTATTTTAGTGAAAATAATGAACAAAGACAAACAGGACTTGGCCATCAGGAGCTCACTGACGCTCCCACCACCTGGGTCTGGCTCCAGGGGTTGTCACAGTGTCCTGATGAGATAGATGTTTATTTATCAAGGTTTTTGAATTTGTCATATTGCATTCATTTTTATGTCCAGTTAATATTCTTCAGAACGCACTGGGCAAGGCAGTGTTAGTCTACAAGAAGTATGTGAAAAATATGAACAACAGTTTCATCACCACCATGAGTGACAGTAATTTTCCTGAAGAACTGATGAGCTGATCAGTGGGGCCAATGTCCCAAATCAGTGAAATAAATCCACATGAYTGAGACTCCTTTAATGTTCAAATTGATTCAGTTTGTATGAACATTTAAATGCAAAATTTTGATAACAGACAACTCGAAAAGGCTCAGRGGCAACCCGTTTTCAAGACTAAATGTGTAACAGCTAAATTTGACAGCACAGAATAAATTACTTTTGCTGAAATAGACTCAAATAATGAACTGTAACGTCATTTTCATTGCTYGTTTCTTTACTGAGACAGAGCTTTGTTGTTGTAACTTGTTTATTAAGCACTCTGTATATCTAATATATGAAAGTGTTGAACTTTACTAAATAATATCCATCCATCCATCCATTTTCTGTACACGCTTCTTCCTTCTTCAAATGTTATTCTTGTTGAGGAAGAAGAAGACGATGGAAGGTCTTTAAATGGGTCCCTGATTAGTTGTAACATTAGACTTTATTTGATAAACAAATATTTTAACTGTAAAATAGAGACTTTAAAAATACTGTAAGCTGTTTAGTTTTGTAAATTTTTAAAAATATATTTTAACACAAACAGAGCTAATTTATATACACGCAAAGCATTC